CTAGTGGTATTATAAACCACAGGTCTAAACAGACACATAGAGCCCAGCAATCCATGGATTTTTGTTGAGTTTTTGGTCATCTAACATGAATTATTTCAGACATGACCTCCTCAAGCCATTAAATCAATCTTTGCAGAAACTCAAGATGAGGGCTCACTGTGCTAAAATCAAACAGGGATTATCTTCCTGTTTCTTAAAGAATTAATACTAAGTAGGCAGGCTATAGAAATATGCCATAAATTAGTTTAATTCAGCAACTCTGTGTTTATGCTTTTAATAGGGATCGTGGCAGGATTTCTATTCAAGAAAAAAAGAAGACATTGACAATTTTAATCACAATACAGCAAGTTTCAAGAGGTTCATTTTTAAACTCCTTAAGTAACACAGGGTACAGCCAACACCTCTAAGCTGTTCAGAAGCACTAATTGCCAATATTTTTGCAACAGGAAAAATAATTTGAATACTGGGGAGGATGAAGTGACTGTTCAAAGGCAAAGCAGCAGCTAAGAACATGCTCCAGGCTTCTACCTATACGTGGTCTTGGGGTCCAGTCACTGGAACTTGCATGTGAGGCTCTGTCTTCTTCATCACTGTCACAGGAGTGAAAGCCATTGGCTATGATTTCATCACTGAGGAGGAAGTTATCTGCAAGAGAGCACGACCAGGGGGTTACACTCCAGCCCAAGGGCACAGGATAGCTTCAAATAGATCACAAAAATGAAAATCAGCAGTTTTGTCACTTAGGTACAGAAAATGTCTATTTTTCTTCACATTTATTGATATGCTTTCAAGCTGTCAGCAGATTTACTGCAGGGTTTGCTACCTTAATGCTGGGCTTCAGGGGGCTGGATACTGACCTTGGTAGAATCTCATTCCCTGAAGTGTTGGGCATTATGGATATTTCACCATAGGAAAAAATCCAAATGTTTTAAAAGTATAATTAAAAATGTCTTTCCCTTACAATTCTCACAGCATTCAGCTCATTAAAAATCTGGGTAAAATGAAAACATGTCACCGTAGCAGACATATCTCTGACCAGGTTTTAAGAGCATTTTAAGAGCATTTTGTGAGGGTGTTACCTTGCAGCTGAGCTGTACTGCTGAGCACATGCACAACTTAGGATATTTCAGTGACACAGAACGTGCTCCCTCAAACCACCCTCACTAAATTTCTCCTGTCCATCTGTCCCTGCAGCTGGGTTTGGCTCAGAGTGCCAGAGTCACCCTGGCTCAGGCCATGGCCTTAAGCCAGAGTAACTCAATTTAACTTCATCTCAACCCTCGATGAAGCAGGGCAGAACCAGGCACTTGTGTCACTGAGCTCACACTCAAGGGGAAATCAAAATTCCAACCTGAGCACCTTATTAGAGCTTACACTACTCAATCTTTTTTATCTGCTTTATTACAAATAGCCTCAGCACCTGTAGCTTCATTTGTTGACAATCTAAGGTGTGAACAAAGAACAAATTTCAGTTGTGCTCTCTAAAGCACTACAGCAGTTCTCAGTCTCTATCTGAAGAACTGAAGAACCCCCTACACTACTTTAGCTGTTATTCCACTTGATTCTCAAATAGGGAACACCAAACAGCATCAATTTTTATTCAGAGGTTGTGCTGTCCTTTCCCTTGTTGCCAGAGTTTATTTTTGATTAGAACAGAAAGAGGTCAGTGGCAGAAATTTGTTGTTGGTTCTCGCTGTCTTGTTCTTCTGAGGCCACAAGTGCTCATGGACATTACTATTTCCTATTAATCTACAGCATTTCAGTTCCATCTCGTTATGCATGAAGTCAGTGAACATACTGAGAATTTTGGAGAAGGAAAAAGTGCATTAGTACACACATCAGTAACTGTGAGATGCCAGTTTGACTTCACAGCTTCTGTACCAAGACCCAAAAGCTTTCATTGTGAAAGACTCCTCACACCCAGGTCACAGCACCCGGGTTTTAAGAAACACTGACAGATACAAGCAGGAAAAAGTAACAATTTAAACTGTAACACTCCCTGTGTATTCCTCACAGGACCGGAGGGGGTAATGCTGCCCAGAACCGAGCCAGCCACACCAAAACGTGCCTGAGGCTCGGAGAGACCTGAGGAAAACGCCTCGTCTAAGGCACCGCTAAGAGATCATTAACTTTGCTCTGAGCTGTTCCAATGGAGTTTTTAAATACTGAGGCTGTTCCAGGTTTATCCTGTATCTCCATTCCTTTTGGATTGCTTTTGCACAGACAGAAATTTTATGTAGCATTTTAGATTTTAACTGCATTCCAGGATAAAATGTAAAGACTCTACTGGCAGAATGCAGCGTCTGACACATTTCAATAAATCTTTCCAAAGCACTGCTTTTAAATAAAAAAAGCCAAAATTAACAACTCCAACAAGAAACAACTCAAACCTGATCTGTCTTTACTGTGAGGTACTTTCACAGTGACGCTGCCCACCAGTACACTTCAAATATGATCTGAAAGAAACTTTTTAGAAAGATTAGAGCTTAGTTTTGTGCTGCAGTCGCTGAAACCTCAGCCAAGACTGTCACTTGCAGTTCTTTAAAGAACCGGTCAAGACTGCTGCTCCTGAGCTTATGTGCAAGTTTCTAAGGACCAGAAATAAAACAATTAACACGGCAGAGATTATGAAAAGGAAACCGAGCTTATGATTTTTCATTTTTAATAACTTGTTGCCAGCAGGACAGCGGAAGGGATGTGTTCAGGGCTGAGAGCCGAGCCGCTGTCCGTGTGCGGCACCGGGCGCAGGAGGCCCGGGCACGGCGGGCTCGGAGCTGCCCCGGGTGGCGGAG